GGAGTGACTAGGACCACCCATCAGGGGCATTTTACTGGTCGGCAGCAGAGAGGATCTGATGGCCAAGGCCAAATTCTTTCTACTTTTTCCAGTGGTTGGGGGTTTTAAAGGGGTCTTATTAATAGAAATACTGTGAAGGATAATATATATGGAATACTTATGTTGCCCACGCCAAGAACTTTCAGGCCCGAAAAACCAGCCAGCTGAAGGAGTGCAAACTATCAGCCATAAGATCCATACTTTGTAAACAGTTCAGGTCCATCACTTGATTGTCTTGGCCATGAAGAAAAACATGGATAATCCATTTTAAAAAAGTCTTAGTAGTTGCCTTTCTCCCCACAATTTATTGCCCTCTACACCATTGGATGAATGGGGGTTTCTCCTCTATAGCCCCCCACCCAAGGAAAGCACCTCCCCTACCCTGTACCTGTTGTCCTTCCCTTGCTCAGCTTCCGATTCCCACCATAGGGGCCCACGCCCTGGTAGGGCACATGATGGGAAAAGAAAGTCAGGATGCATATTCAGCTAGAGCTCATACTGGCCACAGGGTCAGGGGTGGGGGCCTGAAAGTCTCCCCTTGGAGTTGCTTGGGCATAGCACCCTCAGTAAACAAATGCACAAGACCTGTATATGGGGTAGGGAAGAAAATTATTTAGGACTCACCCCAACCTGAATGATCCTGCAGCCTTGTCCTTCTCCATCAGCCAGCCAATGGCCTTGGGAAGGTTGATGGAGATAGCAGAAAGCTCTAAGGGCAGGGCTGCCACTCAGGCCAGCACTGTAAGATTCATCAGGACCAGGAAATGAGAAGAACTGCAAGGGATGCCAGTGTGTGTCTACAGGAAAATGTTTGTCACACATGTCACTGATACTGGAAGTCCCAAGTGGACTTGCCCTCATAAGGAGAAGAAAATAATGCCAGGCTTATAGGCCTGACAACCAAGAAAAGAAGGTGTGTCTGTGCAGATGTAACTGTGGATGGGTAGCAGCTGAGGACCAGATAAAATATTGTACTAAAAGAAATCACCCTCAATATTTTCTTCCTATTTTAGTTATTAGTTGGTGACTTTGGGTAAATCACATCAGCTCCCCAGTACCACCTTGGCACTCTGAGAAAGAAGGACATGACAAGGGCAAAGAATTTATGCAAGGACTGGGATTGGTGTCCTTTGAAGAGGAGACTAAATGCATTTTGTATTTTTTTTTTTTTTGCTTGTAAATAAGAACAAAGTTGTTTCTTTTTTTGTCACCAGATGATAGAATTACCAAATTTTCTGGAAAAAGAGATTGCTGTACTGGGCCTCAAATTTTCCAGGAGCTGTGATGCCCAGCTGAGTTAGATATTACAGTGCAGGAGTGTAAGGAGGGAGATTTTCTGAATCTTGTCTCTAAAACATGAACTTTATCTTCACTGGGGGTCAGTGTTTGGTGAAAACTGTGTTTCTTCAATTTCATTCCAGCTCAAATCATTTATAAATTTTAGTTCAAATGGCAGTTAAACTAAACAGCAGGTTACTATAGTGATTGCTAATTTAAAATAATTAGAGAAAATAATGAGAAAACTATTTCCTCTCTTAAGGATTAGAGATCCGTAAACTGATACCAGTCTATTTTTAGTGTGCATAATCTGTGTAATGATGATAGAGAATTGTGAGTACTTTAAAATGCTTTTAAAAAGTCTGCCTGATTGAGGAATTTAATCAAACAAGTACTGATATTAAAATTTATATGCATCTTTAGTAAATATGAGTTAATTCCACAAAAAGAAATTATATGTATTTGTCTTAATGATATCATTTAAACAAAACATATGTCTAAGTATATAGATAAGTTAGGATTTTTAAAACTGATTTGAGACAGAGATAGAGAAAGAGAGAGATTTGTTGATCCACTTATGTATTCATTGGTTGATTCCTGTATGTGCCCTGACCAGGGACTGAACCCACAATCTTTGTGTACCAGAACTATGCTCTAACCAATTGAACTACCCGGCCAGGGCTTTAGCTAAATTAAGATTTAAGATCTGTTGGCACTCTCCCTTCCCAAAGCATGCCCACACCTTTCTTCCCTCTCAGGTGTGCTTTTTATCCCTAAGTTCTAAGGCATCCCCAGGAGGCTTGCAACCAGGGGAGCAGTGGACAGTGGCACCTTGTCCCTGGCTAATCCCCTGATCCTGTCTCCAAGGCCCTCTTTTCTCTGATTTTTCAGTGAGCCAACAGCAGCTCCTCCTTGGCTCACTTTTTTCCTATAATGTTTCTAGGGAGCCAAAGCAAAGCACTGCCTCAGCTCTCTCCTATTGCGTCTTCTACCCCAAGTCCTTCCTCTGTTTCATAGTCTGCAGCTTTAATAAATGTACTCTCAAAATAAAAAAAAAATGATTTAAGACCTACTTGTGATAAGTTCTTGACTACTATAATTTCACAACTCCACTCTGATAATTCATCATTCAAAAATGGTTGTAAACAACTCACTGTTCAGTCTTAGATAGAGACCCAACCAGAAAACCTGTGAGGGAGGGAGGGAGGAAGGGAAGAAGGAAGGAAGGAAGGCAAAAAACAACCAATAAACTCCAAACTGCTCTCTAAAGTGATATCAATATATACTCCAAGCAGCAGTATATGAAAATCTCAGTTACTCTAACAGTCTTGCCAATGCCAAGGTGGTATTTTCAGAATTTAAAAATTTTCCAGTCTGATGAGTATGAAAATGGTGTATCAATTTTGTTTAATTTACATTTTCTAATTGCTAGTGAAATTGCATATCATCCATCTGGGTTTCGTTTTCTGTGATTTGCCTGTTCATACCTGTTGCTCATTTTTTCCATTGGTTTATGAATCCTTCTTACTGCTTTGTAAGACTGATTTCTATATTCTGGATAATAGAGGTATACAGAACACACATGAATGACATCCATGTACAGTCAAAGCCAAAACCAAAGCTGAGTATCATTATCGTAGAATGAACTCAGGGAATACGAGGATGATTCTGAAATTTTATCAGGAAGGGTTTTCACAGTAATGATTTTATTAACAAATTTTTTAACAATTTGATATAGCATAGGGATATGAATTTCTCAGCAGCCAGACTCCTGTGCTCACTAGAGTGTACATTTTCAGTACTAAATACTTTCAGTTAAGATCAGTGGAGAAATATGACATTTGGAGGCCTTCTCATTTTTCTCTAAAATTTCTTTTCTTTGAACTCTTCATAATCGTTATAAAGTTTGAACTGAAGATAATTTATAATGAATGTTGTTGTACATGATTTTGGAGTTTTTCCACCACATGAAGTTTTGACACAGGAAAGGTGACATTTTGCTTTTACTTAATCCTCACAAAATGTGAGGAATTCTCAAATAAAGCTTTTTCTCAAAAGATACGTAGTATAAATGAAATTAAGCAACTAAATATAAAATACAATCCTTAAAATTGATTTTATTTAATGTTATGAATGCTCTGTATGCAAACAACTTATACAAAGAATAATTATATGATTTTTTTTTAAAAAAAGACCCATCAGAACAAATGAAACCCTCAAACTATGATGTGGCACACAGAGGAAAATGGATACTTCTGGGCGCTTTTATTTCCTTCCTGCAATAAAAGATCACTGTAGACTGATCACAATATTTAAGTCCCGTGAACTCTGTTCCTAATTTCAATAATGACATTCAACTTATTTCTATTTAACTAAGGGTATGTTCCAAATAACTGAACAAACTGGCTGGAAAGTGAAAAAAAAAAAAATCTTTACCTGGTTACATAATATCAAATGAACAAAATAATCATGTGGGATTAGCTCATCTCCATATCAACCAGGCAGAAGCACCTTTAGAGGGCATTTCCTCCATCCCTTTCCTTGTCTGGTCCCTGACAGTTCTGCTGGCTTCTGGAGGAGTCATTGTGGGGCTGCTTTTTCCCATCTTTTGCTTGCCTCTTAGCACTTGTAGTTTTAAATAGTAGCTAATGTTTCTCATGTAAACCTGAGCAAAATATTTGGAAAAAAACTAGATTCTTTTCATTCAGAATCTGCAGTACCCCAGTCAGGGTCTTTAAAAACATCTATGAAACTTTTAAAAATAGATGAGGAAAAAAACAAATCTGAGAGACATTAAGCAATATATCTAGGGTTCGTTATCAGGTGATAGTAATGTCAGGCTATGAACCCAAATTCTTGAACAACAACCCAGGACTCTTCCTGTGAAGGGTGTGCTGAAATTCAGTGAGTGAATGGAGAGCTATTTGGAGGAAGCTGAGAATCTAACAGAACAACCTATCAAGAAAACAGGCTCTGAAAGGAAACCTGTTTAGTGCTTTGAGATTAACAGAAAACAACATCAAAGAAGAGTGCAGGTGTCAGTCTTCCCTGCAGGATTTTACTCTGTTCCCTGGCACTGAAAATGCAGGGGTTTGAAGAAAGGTCCTGGCCTGCCTGCCATTTCTGCAAGCCTATTTGTGATGCATAAAGTCAAAAATGGTTCTCAGACTGGCCTGGTTGTATGAAGCACCTGTTAACACACAGGTTCCCAGAACCCTCGTTGGGAGTTTCTGATTCAGTACATCTGGTGCAGGGTCTGGAAAGCTACGTCTGTAACAGATGCTCCACATGGTGCCTATAAGCGGGCCAACAATAGAAACACTAGTATTGAACAGAGGTTGGCAAACTTGTCCTGGGAGGGATCAGAGTGTATATATTTTAGACACTAAAAGCCATATAGTCTCTGTTGCAGCTATTCAAATTTGCTGTTGCATCAAAAAAAACTGTCACAAATACCACATAAATAAATAAATATGTCTGCAACCCAATAAACCTTTATTTCCAAAAGCAGGTAGGCAACCAGCCAGATATGACCTGGGGGGCTATAGTTTGCCAATCTCTGGTCTAGACCATTTCGAGGTGTGTGTGGGGTGATAAACTCAGGTCTGTTTTTTCAAGTGACCTTCTCAGGTGAGGAAGAGAACGCCCCTTTAAAAACAAATGAATAAAGCAAAAAAACTCACCAAAATACCAATGTCTCTAGGAAGGAAATTCCAACACTGGATGCGCCAACCACAACGATCCTGGCATTGACAGTTATTTTAGGTTCCAGTGTTAGTTTTCTGTTTGTATGGTACAAGGCATAACTCAACTGGAAAAAAATACAAAAAGAGGGACTTGAAGAAAATGTAGCTGAATCTGTACTCTCAAGTTGGAAATTATGTGGAATTATTTAACCAGCACATCATCAGCAAATCAAACTGAAGAGTGCCCATGCACAGCCATGGTGAAATTTATGGGGAGGTATTTTTAAGGCATTAATGTAAGAATATGTAAATATACCTAATACCTAGGCTGGTTCACATCAAAATTCTTGGTTTAGATCATTTTTGTTCTAATGTTGACAGATGTTTCATACAGAACTGAGGTACTTTATGATTAGAGACAATAAGATAAATAATCTCACAAGAAGACAAACAAGTTGCTTTCTGAGAATCTAGTATCATGAAAGGTTCCAAGTCTTTCTTGCTGTCCAAGGTTTCCCTGAAACCTGAACAACAATTATAATAGTTTAGTACTTGACGGCAAGCATTACCTTTTACTCAATTCTGCATCTTTTACTCTACTTAACACAGTACCTTGTGCACAGCAGGTGTTCAGTAATATTTAGAAAATGGCATATAAATATTTGTTAAAAGAAAAAAAGGTGTTGGATGATAAAGGTTATTCAGGGAGGACTCTTAGAAGCACAGAAAATAACATTAATGTTCATATTTGCAAAAATTATCTGGGTCGATAATGTGTTTAATTCACATTCCTGCTGAAGCTTGGTGTGGAGGGGAAAGGAGGAAGGTGGCATTAAATGTACAAATGGAGGTTCTTCAAAGAGATGGTGGGATATTCTTGAAAAAACATTAGACTGTTTCAGAGACTTTGTTTCTGTTTTTAATTCATTAGTTCAGCACATTTTTTATTTGATGCTTACTATATATCTGGACAATAACATGAATCATAGTGGACAATAACATGAATAACATATTTCTCATTAGAAACAGTGGAGGCCAGAAGTTAGTGGAATGACATCCTTACCAAAGTATCCCACTGGTTAAATTCTCATTACATCAGCATTAACACCCTAGGTTAGAGATCTTCCAATTCTAGTAAGCCAAACCTATTTTTAATTTTCTTAAAACCCTGTGATACCAGGAGTAAAAAGTCCAGTGAGCTAATGGTGAAGTCCTTTATAAAGCTGGGCTCTCAGCTTCTGGTATGTAAAATGGCATTGGTACGGCCCATGTGCTTAGCCATTCCCCAGATAACAGGTTAACTCTAGAAGAAAAATCCCCTGTCTCTAGCTCTAGTTAGTCTAGCAACATAGACATAGAAAAATTTCTTGAGCAAAATAATTTATTAATAGAAATTAAAAACAAAGTTTGGAGATTTTAGATACTATAATTAACAGTTCTTGTGTCTCTCAGCATCTGTTCCACCCCCACTCCAATCTTTAATGAAGCACACAATGGATTTTGGAAGAGATTGAGCTCACTACCATCTTTAAGAGAGGACTCTGATTGACATAAATCAAGTCAAATAATCCCACAATTCCTTGCTCAACAATTGACCCAGGACAGACATGTGATCTACTTTGGCCTAATCATAGTGAAGCCTAGGACTTTTGTATGCTGTTTGGAGAAGACTTTTGCCTTCTAGATGGCACTGGGTACAAATGTGAAGCCCGAAATGATATAGGCACCATACCACTGATAGGGAAACCATCTTGAATTGAAGTCCCAAGAGAATCACAGAAAAATAGAACGGGAATCCTTTTCAAACACCACCTGAAGCCCATACTACCTTTGGACTCATCAGTTACATGAGCAATAAATATCAGTCAGCTATTGCCACGATAGTGCTGCATAACAAATCACTGAAAACATTTAAGCGTTGGCTTAAAGCAACTGTGATCTATTCTCACTCATGCAATGCTAGGTCAATTGGAAGTAGGCTGGATTCAGCTGGGCTTGGCTCCATCCTGTAGATTCCAGATTGGCCTCATATCTCTCTTATCTTTTTTGATGGGTAATAGCTGCTGTGTGTTCTTCTCATGGCAATAGTACAAGTGTAAAAAATAAGAAGCAGCAAGTTAGCCTGGTCAAAGCAAAAGTTATGTGGCTAAGCCCAAGTTCCATGAAATGGGGAAGTATATTCACCTGTAGTGAGAGGAACCTCAAAATCACATAGCAAGGGCACATCCCAGGGAGGGAGGGAGGAACGGCTGGGGAGAATGACACAGCCCACCACATTTCCTTGACTGGTAAGATCAGTTTGTTTCTTTTATATGCAACCGAAAACCTTGTAAACTGATACTCTTTCTAAATGATAATAATGAATACTTGTATACCACTTGGGTGAAAAGTGTCTGTTCTTCAAATAAATATCACTCTGATCTGCTCTATGAGAATTTCCCAGGACAGGTCAATGAAGAATTAGGAGAGAAAACTAGCTAATACTGATACCTATTGGTGCTATCATGTACTGTGTTCTGATTAATTTCCAAGACAAGCAGAGTGGCAGAAGATCCACTCTAGCCAGCCTTGGGTCTGGTAGTGTGGGGAAAGGAAGATAGGAAACATAACTGTTGGCATGATGGCACCTAATTGTGAGTCTAATTACCAGAATTAAAATGAAATCATCTTAACAGAGGTCAGAGCCTAAGATTCCTTCCATAGGAGCTATGCTCAGACATTCCCCTCTGCTGTCCAGAAGTGTATGGGCAGTAATGAAATTCCTTGGTAAAGAATCATACTCCATTTTTGAAACAGCTCCTGTATCAATGACAAAAGGAGGCTGGGGAACAGAACATAATGGCTTTTGTTTCCCACACAATAGCTTTAACACCAACAGCTGCCAGGCCTCAGAAATCACCCTTCTAACCACTGAATACACAATATGGCCTTGAGGTGTCGAGAGTTAGCATCAGTACCATTGATGGTGGGTGTCTCAGGGGAGTGATCACAATGACTCTCACTAAGCCCAATTTTGTGCCCAGCCTTTAATTAAAAACATATTCATCATGAGGTATGATGAAGTGACCTGAAAACACATTTTTCTTTTGTTAGGATAGATGGTATGTATGTATGTAGGTATGCATGTATATATGTATGTATCTACTTACGTACCTACCTATCTAGGATAGATGGATTTTGAATGCTTTGAAAAAAATTCTTGCCAGCCTGGAAATGTTTATCAGTGATACTGCAAATGAAGACTGCTTATGTGGCTTTCTTTATAAAAGGTTTATTTTGCCTGTATGAGGAAGCACAAGTCATTTTTGAAGTAGAATATTTCTTTCCTTTTTATTCCTTTAAACTGCAGGTTTTCATGGTAAAGAAAAACATGTATGGAAGGCCTTCTGAACCCTCGGGCCAGTTCAAGGACCCTTTTTTTGGTCTCAGCATCTTCCAAAAAAAATGTCCCATGCATTGGAGACCCTGTTTTGGGATTTGCTCCTGTTTTGTATTTCCTTAATAGTAAAGTAAAAACAAGAACCTTATCTATTGACTAATTTTATAGACAAAAGTTCTATGTGCCTTGTAATAGTAAATTATTTCAAAGATAAAATAGAGGAGACCCTGTAAGCTATTTGGCTACATATTGCACCCGTGATGAGTGGGGACTCTGATTTTTAACTGTATGTCCATTCATACATTTATGATTATATTTTCCTAATGATACTGAGTAGCATTTTTTCTACAAAGGGATGATTTTAAAGGTAGAGATTAACATATACACCAGGAAGAAGGAATAGATCACATATCATGATGTGTAAGCTTTTCACAATTGATGATGAGTTTCATAATGAGTTTAAAATACAAACCTTAAGTCCTACCCCTCAAATAAGAGAAAAAAGACTGGTAATATCGGATACCCCCTTTTAGGAAATTCTAGAGCTGAACTTGATGTGGGGGAGGGTGACAGAGAGTGAAGGATTCTGAGGGAAAAAGCAAAAGGTCAGCTGGGAGGGGACGAAAGTTGAGAAAACAGCGGACTGAAATGAGCACGTGTTTAAGTTTTAAACTATTTATCTGTAATTTCCTATGAACTTCTGAAACAAAATATTTTGTCCATGTGAATGAGTGAGCCATTAGAAAGGTTTCAGTCACTTTTATTAATTTATTTGATTTGCTTGCTGCCATCCAACTATTTGCTTCGTAAGGTCAAGAACTACATCTTTGGGATGCAAGATGGCAGAGGAGTGAATGGAAGTCACACTGTCCTCCCAGGACCAATCTGGAATTACAACTAAATTGTGGAGAAATCACCAGGAATAAAAAACTGGACAATAGCGAGAGAGAAGCCTTACTTTGGACAGAAAAAGAATCAGCTTTAGCACAACCTGACTGGTAAGGAGTGTGGTGGAGAATCAAGAAGGCTGGCTGGGCACCCATAGGCAGAAGTGGCCAGAAGGATATTTAAGTGGCCATTTGGATTCCCTGAGAAGAGTGGGGTAAAAACCATAAGTGGAGACCCCCAGCCTACAGCATTAGAGCCCAAAAGTATAGATAACAGCCTGCTGTGAAAAGTGGCAGGGTGCCCTCAGCCAGAGAGAAGGAGCTGGAGACCCAAAGAGACATTTAAAGGGCCAACACATACACTTTCATTTGCAGCCACTTCCCCTGCACTCTGGCAAGGGTGAGGGGCGGGGGGCGGGGGCGCAGAGTGAGCTAGAGATGTCTGAGGAGAGAGTGGGGATGGAGGCTATGGGGAGAGAACTGAGAGAGTAGCCGGTGGGATCCCAGTGCTGAGTCATCCCCCATAGGGCAGCAGCTATCTTGCTCAGGAAGACCACTCCCCTGAGCAGCAGGATCTTGAGAGGAAACAATAGCCCCACCCCCAGAAGTGGCTCTTCCCCATCCTGTGGTGTCTAAGTCTGACTGCTGAGTGCAGAGTGACTAGATTAACAACTGAAAAAGAGAGCCACAGACTGTAGATTCCTGGAAGTCTTGAACAGACTGCCTAAGGTTAGAAGGGGTAAACATCTGACATTAGAGGCAGATCCAGAAAGAAAAAGCAGTAGTAAATACTAGAGGCTACTGAGATGAAATCCACTGTGGTCTGAGATGAAATCCACTGTGGTCTTCTCTATGAAAT